TATCTATCTATCTATCTATCTATCTATCTATCTATCTATCTATCTATCTATCTATCTATCTATCTATCTATCTATCTATCTATCTATCTATATTATTTTTCTTACAAATCTGGTTAAAACTGTAAAATTGGTAAATTGTTGACATAAAAAAATTATTATGCAAAACCTTAACCTCATCAACAACTGTTTAACTTCCAAGTACAACATTTGTTCACCTCATATTTAGCGTCACAGCTTTTTGCTGACACGAGCCTGTGTTTGTGTTCCTGTCAGCGCTGTGACATCACCGTATTGTAAGTCTGTCTTCATGGCTGTCTGCTTCTTGTCACACAGACAGTACGGTTGTCTTTCTTTTCTCTCTCGCTCTCTGTGTCGGAAACAACAAAGCCTGGAGACAAACAGCTCAGCTGCTCCTCATTTCAACAACAAACCTGTGTTTGAAGGTTACATCCTTCCCACACATCATCTGATTCTGTGGTTACATGTGAGCATGTGGACGGGGAGTGTAATGTTCATTCCTCTCTACACAGAAACAAAATAGAACTTGTTTTATTCACTAGTAATTGAGTTTGGAGAAAATGCCATTTTAATGATTTGCTAACTGGACCCAAAAAATCAATTTATTTGCAGTGTCACAAAGCAAAAGTTTAAAGTTCAAGTGTTACGAATCTCATGTTTTAATATTGAAATTGTAGTAAATCTAACGTGTCTCCTCTGTGTGATGACAATTAATTTGAGTAAATGTACAGAAAGTCACGCGATACAGCAGTCTGTGAAACATGTTTGGTTTTGGGGATTGGATTATGTTTTAATGCAATCTTTGATGGTTTTTATCTCGAACTTGGACAGGTTTCATCATGCTGTGATGATATCTCTGAGCCATCATCACAGGATGATCTTCTTTAGAAAAATGTTTTTTGGTATTGATCTGAAGAAATAATGTTCTCCAATTGTCATATTTATTGTGCAAGGAAACTACTTCTTTGACCTTTTCATGTTCATATGTTTTACATTAGTTTGTCTGGTGCAGGGATTACAGCACAAAAACTGGAAAACTTTTTTCAGGCACTAATAATAAGTAAGCTGTTGTGTCCAGCGTCTGACTCTAATAGAATAAGAGACTCGGTCAATGAGGAGCACGATGGAAAAAACTCTTTAGTTATGATAACTGACTGAGGTTAGATTATTATCTGGGCAAAACAACTGCTGCACAAACTCACAAATGCTAGAATTTAATTTCTCTAACATGTGTATGCATCCATGGTAAAAAGAGAGTATGTCCTCCTTCAGTTCTAAGGATTTTGTGTATCAGGACATACCGTAATGAAAAAAAATCACCTGGTCCTCACCAGGTTCTAACAATATTTAAACACAACCTCAGGTGAACAGCAACATTATAGATTACCCTGTATTGTTATTCATTTGACAAAAAACAAGCCAAAATACTACATGCACCCCACAATTCAGCAGTAAAACCACATTTAGCAGCAATAACTTGAATTAACTGTTTTCTGTATGACTGTATCATGGCTGTATGACTCTTCTTTTCAATGTTGCTTCAGTTCGTTCAGACTTGCAGGCATTCATTCGTACACAGCTCTTCATACAAGTTTCACCACAGCATATCAATCAGATGAGCTCTGGACTCTCACTGGGCCATTGCAAAACATTGATTCTTGTCTTTTCTTCCTGGCGACTGTTCTAAACAAACCATTCTTGATCAGTCTTTTTTGTCAGCCTTTTTCTAGTTCTGCAGTCATGAACTCTAACATTTAACATGGTAACTGTTGCATGTAGAGTCTGAGATGGAAGCGTTTTTTGTAGTTTCTCTGGCCTTGGGTTGAATTTGCAAGGATGTTCACTCTTAGAAAGCTTGATTATGTGAACAATCCATCTCACTGTAGCATGATGGACTTTGAAGTGGCTTTATAATCTTTCCCAGCTTCAGGCCTCCAAATTGCCCAAAGTTTACTATGCATGGTCACACTTGCTAATGGTCACTTAGTCAACTGCACTTAATCATCAGCATCTGGCTGCGTCATCCTGCTTCTGTAAGGAAGCACTGTGTCATGACATGTAAAACTTTAGAATTAAAAGAGGGTGCACTTGCTTTGTTACCATGACTGCATGTGGTATATGGGAGCTTTTTATCTTGAATGAGAAGCGATTAATTTCTGGGCATCTGTGTAAAAAACACTCAAACTGAGAAATAGGTAAAAAAGTATCCAGGTTTTGAACCGGTGGTTAACAAGCTGCTCTTTTCAGTAATTGTTAATGGTTCTTCACTACACTTTAAGCATATATCTTTGTCCTTAGAGGAAGGAACTATACGGTGTATTTGCTTTCCAGAGTCCCAAGCAGGTTAATCCAGTCACACTTGCAGTTTTGGTCCTCTAAACTATTATAAACATCTTGCACTATGACAATGCCTCAAACAGTCCAAATACATGCATGATAAGTTTATTGGTGAGTCTAAATTGTGCTTTACGTGTGAAGTGCTTTAAAGTGGTTTAAGTGTATACATATTTAGCCTTAAAAGCTGGAAAAAAGCAGGAAACTGGAGTGGCTCAAGAGTTGGGAGTTCGCCTTGTAATTGGAAGGTTGCCGGTTCAAGCCCTGGCTTGGACAGTCTTGGTCATTGTGTCCTTGGGCGAGACACTTCACCCGTTGCCTACTGGTGGTGGTCAGAGGGCCCGGTGGCGCCAGTGTTCAGCAGCTTCACCTCTGTCAGTGCGCCCGAGGGTGGCTGTGGCTACAATGTAGCTTGTGGATGACTGGATGTGTAAAGTGCTTTGGGGTCCTTAGGAACTAGTAAAGTGCTATACAAATACAGGCCATTTACCATTTAAAAAAAGTGCACCTCTCATCCAAGAGGTTTTTTTCGTGTCAAAAGGTTAGTGGGTCTCAGGTTGCAGTGGAGGTTCCCTTTGAAGGTTGTCCTGAGGGTTGCTGACCCATTGTTATTTATGTGATTTTTCACATGATCCATGAGCTGTAAAAAAAGGCATGTGTCGTTGCCATCACTGTGAGAATCAGTGCGAGACCTTACCAACCCCATTATTTTGGTTACTTACAGAAAAAACTACAGATAAAGGTTTTGTGCCACTGACAGTAGACTATGAGTAAAGTGAACAGAAGATGTAACATCATTTTTCTTAGCCTGTTTTACTGTTTTGTTAATGAAGGCCATGTGTTAAGAATAACTTATTTGTTCTTAAACAGATCATTTGGATGCTTGTTTTTTATAGGTCAGCCCTCTTGAAATCAGATTGGGGCTGTGAACTGACAACAAATCATTCAGAATTAGATTTTTATTATTAGTTTAAAGCTTTATTTAACTTAATTAAAAAATTTTAAGTCTACTTTAGATTACTTTGTTTCTATGTAGCTTTTATTACTTGAAAAATGTCTATTTTAGTTTAGATGTTATTTATCTTCTTCGGTATTATGATGTTTGTGTGGTATTTGTCACCAGCAAGATATAAGAAGTTCAGAGCAGGCATTACAACAAAAACACAACAATTCATGTTAACTCAGTTTGAACAAAAAAAAAAATTAACAAATCGGACCACAGTGACACAGACTAAAATTAAGGGCAATTCCTGTTTATTTTAATTTACATGAAGGCATTTGCGAGAGTATATGCATGTATGGTGATGTGCTCCCTGAGGGTGTTTTATTAAAACTAAACAAATCCTGAATAAATGTCCATGCCCATATTTGTAACCACCTATTCCAGCGTCATTGTGGTAGGCTATTTTAAAATGCTGTATCATCAGCTTGAAACAGACTGACTTCCTCAGAGCGCCTTGCTCATCTTACAGCACGTTCATTGATAACCACTGGTTATCAACAAAGAAGATAACTTAAAATTCCTGGGTAATCATTCATGTGTGGATTCAAGTACCAAAAACTGATACATAATTTGTTTTAATATTACTGTTTAATATTTGTATTTTCAGTGTTGGCAAGAGTATTTATTTTTGGATGAAATACGACTGAAAAAGTCGACTTCCCTTTTCGATGGCTCTTAGTGTAACGTCATGCATATTCAACCATGTATAAGTCGACTTGACTACATTTCTTTTTTATATTAAAAAGAAATGTCATTGTGGTGTCTAAAAAGTAATCAGCCTGAAACGCACCGGCTTAAACGTTGCTTTTCTTTTTCAAAAAATTTTTTTTAAAATGAACTGATATTGTAAATAATTTATTATGTATTATTTATTTGCGAGTTTAGTCAATTATTTAATGATGTATTTGTTTATTTCAGTTTGACACTCTTGCTGAAAGTTTTTACAGCACCTCCTCAGCACCTTCACTTGAATAAAACGATCTCTTCCGGTCCGGTGATTAACGTCACGTGACGGGTAGTTGCCGAGTCGAGCTCAGCTGACAGGCTCCAGGGAAGTTAGCTTTCAGCTTGTGATGCGGTAAAGCAATCCAACTAAAAGCTGATATTTTAAAAAAAATGGAGCGGTACGGGTCGGACGTGGAGGTCGACGAGCAGAGGACTCCGCTGATTCGCCGGGGACGCGAAGAAGAAGTCCAGAAAGGTGAAAGAAAAAACCAAAGCATTCAGCTAACGATGCGGGCGCTTCGGTCGTTTTGTGCAGCATATGTTTGTAAGAAGCCGCGCTGGTTAACTGGGAAGAGGCAGGAAAGACACATACTAACAACCTGAACAGCACAATTTTATCGCTAAAGTGGCTGGTATGTCTGACTGTAGTGTAAACCTTAAATTTAGAGTCGTCACTAACACAGCTGTCATTATAGAAGGGTTGATTTACTGAATTCACCAGCTGAGTGTGCATTTTTAGGTGTATTTTGCCATCTAAGACATTTAAGTTGGTCATCCACACCTGTGTGTAAACGCACTTTATCTTTTAATGAGCATCGGTCACGAGGTTAGGCACGTCTGCCCTGGAATCGTATCATGAGACGTGTCTCTATGATATTTGAGTCATGACATACCTGCATACCCACGAAGGAAAAACGGGTTTTAATTGAATGCAGTGGTTTAGCTCTGAGAAACTGTGCATGCAGTGAACTCAGTCCTGACAGAACTGACAGGGCAAGTTTAGGTTTGCCAAATGTAAACAGGATTTACTGAAATAAGCTCTGTATCATTTTGGATAAGTTCAGTCGGCTGGATAAAGGAGACCCATTTTAACAGTGACAGTGGTGTGTACTATCAGTCGTATCAGCAGGTAGTTGTACTGTATGCAAACTAAATAGACTGATTAAATGGTGAAGTGTAGTTATGAAAATAAGGTTGTGCTACAAGTTTCAGAGCTTTAACGTTGTTGTTAGGTTTGGCTTGTCATTTACTCATTTTAAGGTTGATGGTTTAATCCCCGGTTGCTACATTCTTTCTGCCAAAGCATCCTTGGGGAACCTCCTGAATCCAGAGTAGCTTAGTTCTGAAAATAAGACTTAGAATTTTGAGATTTGATGGTATTATTAGAGTTGACTTACAGATGGGGCTGAGACAGGATACCAATGCAGAAATGTATCATGATGCATTATCAACATGCTGATGCTAGAAATTGATATTATTTATTTAAAATAAACTAATTAGAATCATTACTTAAAGGATAACCAAATTCAATTATAATAATACAAAAGCACAGCATGAAAATATGAAAGGTTTTTAAGATTTGACTTATTAGGATTATGTTGTGTTCCTTTTGTTACACGGATGTTGTGATATTGTAGTATTAATACACAGACCATACGTGCAAACAGATGATTCACACTGCTGTCGTTTCTGTCCCTCAGCTCCAGCATGCGGTTCATCACGCTACGCCCTGGCATTGCTTTCCTCTTATGGCTTCTTTGTAGTCTATTCTTTGAGGGTAAACCTCAGTGTGGCGATGGTGGACATGCTCAACAACACCCACCAATCAAACCCCAACCACAGTGGCACAGTGTGCCCTCGCCATTCCAACCCTGCAGTTCGCAAACACAATCACACGGTGAGCCGAAATTTGACTGCAGCTATTTAATCCCACTTTAAAGTGTGTCCTCCATAGGTTTAGTCAATTTTAATAAAGTAACAATGTAGCTTGGGAGTATGTTTGCCACCTAAAGACTTTCTAGGTCCTGAAGTTAGATTTAAATGCAAACCAGTTATATAGACCTGTTGGATTCTCAGTGAAAGTCAGTCTTTTGGTGTATAATTTCATGTACATGTAGAGGTAACAGTTTACTGATTTTACTGATAAGATTTTAAAGTTAAGGAGTTACTATTATTTGCAGGCTCCTTATTTTTATTCATGTCTGTCTGTAGGAAAATAACATACATTAGGCAGAATTATGTGAACGGGGAAATGTAGTTGGCATCCAAGACCCAGTACTTTGTAAGTCTTGAATTGACATGATATCAATATCCTAAGCCCTGAAGTCCTAAAGTTTCTAATCTATCCCCTCATAGGCCAGTGTTTACAACTGGGACTCAGAAACACAGGGATGGATCCTGGGCTCTTTTTTCTACGGGTACATCCTGACACAAGTCCCTGGGGGCTACCTGGCTGGCCGCTTTGGACCAAAATGGCTGATGGGCTTTGGGATCCTGGGGACTGTAATTTTTACACTGCTTACCCCTGTTGCTGCTGACCTGGGTGCAGGCTACCTCATTGCTGTCAGAGTGCTGGAGGGGATTGGCGAGGTAGGGGATCAGAATGAAGATGTTGAAAACGGAGTTGAATGCATTTGTGCAGCCCTGTTTTATGAACCATAATCACTATCTGTGCTGCAGCCATAAGATTTGCAAATGGCAATAAAAGTCATGTGACAGTCCTGAAATGGTTTCCAGGAATAGTTAAGCTAATATTTGGCTATGCTTAAGTGTCATCTGTGCACTTCTCTTAATATTCCTGATGTGTTTGTCCTCAGGGTGTTACATTCCCAGCAATGTACACCATGTGGGCAGCCTGGGCCCCACCGCTGGAGAGGAGCCGACTTCTCACCATTTCCTACATTGGTAAGACTGCAGCAAGAGCTAGACTGTCAACAGAAAGACAAATTGCACTTTTAGCCTATTTTATGCATTTTTTTTTTTTAGCTTCAGTCTACAGCTGATCACTTGAAAAATATTACATTAAGTAAAATATGAACACTTGGCCACACTAACCTTTATCATGAATATTTAAGCTGCTGGGCTTAGGCTTCTCTTGCAGACCAGCATCTGTCCTTTAACTATTCATGTCCACCTGCCACTTTCTGTTTGTTCTTTCTTCAGTAGTTACACAAACCTACTTCTTTTCTCTTCCCAGGAGCACAGCTGGGGACAGTAATAAGTCTTCCTGTATCTGGTGAAATCATCTTTTACCTGGACTGGACCTATGTCTTCTATATATTTGGTAATGCATGTAAATTATACTATTGATAGTCGAGTTTAGGAAGATTTGTTTTAAAGGAAAAAAAAAAAGATTCTTAGTCTCAGTTACTTTGTGCTCTAAGACAGGGGTCAGCAACCTTTAACACCCAAAGAGCCATTTGGACTCGGTTTCCACGGAAAAGAAAACACTGGGAGCCGCAAATACTTTTTGACATCTAAAATGAAGTTAACACTGTGTATATTGTTTTGTTTTTTTACCTTATGCTTTGTATAAACAACTATAGTGTGTTGCTTATGAAATCCATGAAGTGCTACGGAGAAAATTACATTTTATCTATGTAATGAACACATTTTCAACCCTTAAAAAATAATAACAAAAAAGAAAGTCAACTAGTTGATGGTCTCTTTTAAATGAATTAAAAAGCTGAACTTATCCATTAGCAAACAAAAACAGTGAGCCGTCATCCTTATATCGCCTTCTGGGCTATCGGAGTGTAGCGTGGCCTTGACCAGAATTTAAAAAATAATTGGAAAAAGCACTATGCTCCTAAAAAATTAAAAATAAATATTTTCAAAATATCTGCATATTTGTTTAACCTGGTTAACGTGCTTCGCGGGGCATGGCCCGCAGTGCCACTGCAGGAGAGGCAGACGTACCTGAGTGTCATCCACAATCACGCCTCACCGGCTTGCTCTCTCTGCTGTTGCTTGTATGTATCGGGCTGTGAGCTGGAAAGCTGCAGCCGGCTGTGCGTGTGAAAAGTGATCAATAAAGAGATGCTGAAGAGCATGTTCATGTAAACATCGTCGGGTCTGCCGTGATGTGTTTACAATCGGACTTCTGCTCCTGAACCTCTGCACACAGCGTCTGCTGTACGATAGGGGCTGTGCGAAATCATTTTCATCTTTACGCAGGACTGTAAGCTGTCGTCTGTGAGGCGTGAGCGGTGTTTGTTTTTAACATAGTTCGTGGTGGAGAACAGCTGCTCACATATGTATGTTGATCCAAAGATCGACACTCCACAAATCAGGCATACTGGTAGGCCGCTCTCGTCAGAAGTAAATACAAATGAATCTGCCCAGGCATCATTAAATGTTGTAATTTAGTCAGATATTTTTCTTTTCTTACATTTCTCCATACTTGGCCTACTGAGGGCTGAAAGTCTTCCACGAGTGTGACGCTTATTTTGAGCGATGAAAAATAATAAAATATAACTTTATTCTGATCTTGAAATACAAAAATAATCTTCCAAGTTAGAACTACAAGTTTTAAAAAAGAACTAACACAAATAAAATCCACTTCAGTTAAATACTTATAATTTATTTTTCCAAACCATGCAGAGCCGCAATATAAGGACTAAAGAGCCGCAGGTTGCTGACCCCTGCTCTAAGAGGTGTTTTGTACAAATTTTACCTCAACCTGATTTCATATTTTGTTTATGTGAGTTATTTTTAACAGATTTGTCAGTTTGTTGTTATTGTTTAGAATAGCATTCTTTGATAATGTTTGGTATTGTGAATTCGTCAGTGATCAATTTGCTTAAAAACTCTGAATTCACATTGCAGGTAATTTAAAAAAAAATCTTGTCTTATGTAAACATGCTACATGCCTAACACATACTGTCAGCTATGCTTAAAGAGGTTCTTACGTATCAGTCTGAACTCAAATGACTTGTTTGTTTAGTCAACACTTCTTCACAGTGCTGTTTAGCAGCTGTCTCTAGCATCTGTTCCTCTTTGACAGTGGAAATAACAATTTAGAAAATGGGAAGAAGAAAATGTATGCACAAATGGAAACAATGCAGAGGTCTGATTTTTTTCACTTGGGGCTTTTACTTCTACCAAACATATGTCAGATGTAAAAGTCCCTTAAGGCAAGACAGAGATAATGAGATACTCAGACTTCAGTTCAGTTTCAGGAACAGACAACCAAACCACATTCCACATATTTGCTTACTGGATAAAGGCACTCATATGATGGAGGATTTATGCTGGATGAGTGTAGGTCACCAGTGTTGCTTTGTGGTTTGCTCAGGTGCTGTCGGACTGGTGTGGTTCGTCCTGTGGGCTTTTTTCGTCTTTGACAGCCCGAATACCCATCCACGAATATCAGAGCAGGAGAGACTCTATATCACCTCCTCGCTCAAGAATGAGGTAACAGTAGTAACATGATAACAGGTTGTAAATTTAAAAAAAGAAGCAAATTCTCTTACATTAAAGAGCAGCTTTAATATACACTTATTGCATTGCTCTTAGTGCTTGCTACAGCGTGTTTGCAGGCATTTCCAGTCCAGTCCAGTTATCTGATTCTAATGTTACATAATATCAGTGTATTTCATCATTTTACTTTCTTATCTGTTCTTGTCAAAATACCTGCCATGAATCTGCGTTACTGGCACTGCGATGGTGAGCATGTAGCAGCTGGGAGCCCTAGTATGGCTGGATAGACTGCAGTGGCTTTAACCTCCTAGGACCTGGCGTCCACATATGTGGACATCACATTTTGGGTTATTTAGACCAAAATACTCAATTTTGCTCTGCAAGGGCCTGATATCCACTTACAAGGACATTATACTGCTACTGTTCTATCAAAATTTTAAACGAATATCCTCAGATGTGGCTCTTATTTTTCTTAAAAACAAAATAAGGAAAAAATAAATAAATCTGGTAATTCTTTGTTTTTACATTCATCGGGCCCCAATATGCCCAAATATCAAAGAGAAATTAAAAATGCATGCTGTGGAAGAGTTCGGGTCTCAGGAGGTCAAAGCTTCATCAGCACAGCAGTGACATTTTTTGCGCAGCTTCATCTTTTCTTTAGTCTTTGGTGAACATCAAGGTTGTTGTTTCAGATGTGTTTTCGAAGAAATTCTAATGAACTTCTTCTGTTATTTCTTCATCCTACTTCTACATTCGCTTTGGTCCAGCTGTCCACCTCGGCGAGCAACATCCCCTGGCGATCCATAGTGACTTCGATGCCGCTGTTGGCCATTGTTGTGGCTCACTTCTCTTACAACTGGACCTTCTACACCCTCCTCACTCTGCTGCCAACCTACATGAGTGACATCCTGGGATTTAGCATACAGCAGGTGAGAAACCACATTAGTTTAAATCAATACCAGAGTGACTTTAAAAAGGACTTGGTCTCATTTTAAGCTGATTTTTATTAGATTTTTTTAAATTCTGGAACTCTAGAGTATGAGTCCTAGTAAAAAATGTATGTGTATTATTTATATGAAGCTCTTATGGAGCCTTTTGATCACAGGGATTGTAAATACATACACTAACCTCTATATCTGATACTTTAGCCATGCTTCATAGGAAAAGCCATAATTGCAATAGTAAATATTTAACAGAAAATATAGAAAAGCACGATAGATCCCCTTTAAACTTGGGACAAAAGGTTAGTTTGTTTAGAACTCCAGGGAGATGAACCGGTAAAGTAGAAATGACTAACTGCAATACTAAAACATTCAACATCCTTGGTTAATCGTTCTCTTCTGAGAGTACATGAAAAAGTAAAAAATAAAGTCTCCCAGTAATGAAATGATTGTAATTGTCTGTTCCCAACAGAATGGTTTTCTGTCGGCTCTGCCTTACTTGGGATGTGCTGTGGTCGCTGTGCTGAGCGGCCAAATTGCCGACTATCTGCGAGAAACCCGCAAATACCGCACTGTCATTGTCAGGAAGTCCTTCACCCTCATTGGTAATTCATGACAGTCACTGCTGAATCCTCGACTTTTAACTGACTGCAGGCTCTTGACATCAAAAATATTACCAGTATTGCTACTTCACAGTTGTGTTGTTTCTGTAGGGATGATTGGGCCTGCAGTGTTCCTGGTGGCAGCAGGTTATACAGGCTGTGACTACACCTTGGCTGTGACCTTCCTCACCATCTCCTCTTCTCTCGGAGGAGTGTCGGCATCTGGCTTCAACATCAACCACCTTGACATTGCTCCTTCGTAAGAATTACACCTCAGAAAACTGTTGGATGCTACTACTACTAATAATAATGATAATACTTCAGTCATTTTAATTTTGAATCATTTTCAGTGTGAAGATGAGAGATTATGGGTATAAATGTGTAATTCAGTGTATCTTCAGGTTCAGATATCTTTGACATATTGAAGTTTCCCTCTGGCCTGTTGTTATCAAGATAATAATTTTAGGCATCAACATAGACCATGAGATAATGGAGGATATTTCTTTTTATAAATATAATTACATTTCATTATCAGTGTAGCAACATTATGTACTACATAGTGCTTTTATCGGGTTTATTACTCAGGACTTAATGTTTTTATTTGTCTCTTTAGATATGCCGGTATTCTCCTAGGAATCACCAACACCTTTGCCACCATCCCTGGCATGGTGGGACCAGTCATAGCAAGAGCTCTGACTCAGCAGGTAAGAAACATGTTCAGCAACGATGTAACTAACCAGTTCTTTTTTTTTTTTTTGTTTCAAAAGTAAAGTCTGGAATCTAGATTAATCATACACATAGAGTACACAGTATCTTTATAGCTGCGAGTAAAGAGGTAGTGAATGGTAGCAGTAAACTTCATTGGATTTTAATATGTAGTGTGCTGCTGCTTCATACAAAATGAGGACACTCTGGGTGTCCTGACAGATGGTATCCTTACTTTAGCATAATGCTTCATTTCCTCTGTAATTGGTTTAGTAAGTACAGGATTAAGGTGTTTAAGGTTTGGCCAATAGGGGGCACCAATAGTCCTAGAAAGGTAACTAAGTGTTACATTAGACCAGAGAAGAGCATACTACATACCTGCATGCTATGTTCAGTCAGTTAATCCAAATGATATTAAATCTGTAATCGTATGTAATCATTTTACACCACACACATGACAATAAAACAGCTTAGTAGTGATATTTAATCAAATAAGGCCTTTTCTGTATGTTAACACTAACTGTGCTAATGGTCCTCTAGAACACCATCGAAGAATGGCAGATTGTTTTCTACATTGCTGCTGCCATCGACGTGTTTGGGGCAATATTCTACGCTGTGTTTGGTAAAGGAACAGTGCAGTCCTGGGCTGTCCACACATCTTTCTATCATGCAGACTGAGACATGAGACCCTTTCGGGTTAAATTTTCAGATTTGTCCGGTGGGCAAGTTTCAAACATGAGCTCATTTGGTGGGTAATTTAAGGGAGAGATGTGTTCTAGCTGTATTCATCATGGTTGGATAAGTGTGTAATTGCCATGATATCTTGGAAAGATGTTCCTTAATGTGGCTGTGGGTACATGGTCTTGAAACAGATGAGCCCAATGTCGGTGATTTAAAAAAAAGAAAGTTGTAGCTGTACCTACTCAAATATATTATTTCTCAGAGGAAGAAATCAACATATGCTTTCCCAAGAAGTATCAGAGGAAGCTTTCATTATGAAGCCAAACGGGCTTGCTGGTATGTGGAGGGGGGGCAATGAGATTAGTTAGTTATGAAGCTACAGGCTGCATAACTAACTATAAAGGTCGGCTAATGTACATCAACTTTGATATTTACAGATAATAATGCATTTTAGATATTAACTCATTATAAATAAGCTATGGAAGAAAATCATTCCACTGTAGGTGGTTTTGTGGATTCAACCTGCTATACCCAATGGTTCCTTTTTACAGAAGGGACAGTTTTAAATCCAGTACACACCGATGCCCACCAAAATTTTTTTTTTTTTTTTTTTAAATCTGTTACTTTGTAGCCCATAATGAAGTGCCAGTAGGCTTTATAGTGAATTTTAAAAATCCCAAACGTTTTAAATTCAGCATTATGACTATAGTGTACACTTTGTTCAGGGATGATGCCTTAAAAATGTCTCCAAGCATTTTATCCTTTTTTCTTAGAGAAATTTACTTTTTTTTAAAAATGATTACTTGTAATATGGTGCAGTGTCTTGAGCAATGTTCCCTCTAAGCTGAGCGCGTGAGCAATCGCGCACTGCTGACATGGTCTCCCCACACAGAAAATCTGTGCTGCGCACAAAAAAAAAAAATCCAGCCTGAATTGGAATGAAAGTAAATACATGTATTTATTTTATTTTGCTGATTTTCTGTGCACGGAGACTGTCAGCAGTGCACGATTGCTCACGCGCTCAGCTTAGAGGGAACAGTGGTCTTGAGTTTTCAGGTTCACAAGCCAACTCTTATTTGAGATAGCAGGATTTAACGTCACAGGGGTTATGATCTCTCCAGTACATCTTATTAATAAAGGGACTTTGCTTTAAATTATTCCCCGAATTCTCAGGTATCTTAAATCTTACAAGGATTTAAAAAGGACGTTTGTTTACTTTTAAATTTTGATTAATCTTATCACATGGAGGCATATTTCCTCAAGTTTTAAGTGTCAGTGTGGTGATCGCCTTCTTTCAGTGTCAATGACAGATTAATTTTTTTCATCATATTTGCACACATTATACATTATGTACAATTTTCTTTCATACATAATCTCAGTTAAGAGGTAAATCCAAGCTAAACTGTAAGGTTAACATTTTGTCTTTGAAATTTCCGAATATTTATAATGTGCCTTACTGCTTAAGTTCAAAAGGGATCAGCAATGCAGGCTCATTCTTTTGAGTTCTTTTTGTTACTGACTTCATTTATTTCAGTTGTTATTGTGCTTTGTTTGCACAGAGAATAAAGGGACTAAATTGTACTAAGTAAAAATCATTGTAAAATTCCTCTTTCAAAACATTTGAGAGAAATGTTTTAAATCGCTGTGGTATAAAGACTGTGTAAATCAGATCTTGTGTTGGGGTATTATTTCTTTATCTCCTAGAACAGTTTTCACATTAACTAAGAATAATGTGGTTTTACATACTTAATAATTTTAAGTACCCTATAGTTGCCTAAAAACGAGCCCTATGCGACTTAATCTGCTTTCTCTCCCATCATCTGCCTCCTTCTCAACCTGGCATCTTCCTGTCACACCAACCCTCTGCATGTCTTCCTTCACTGCACCCACAAACCTCTTCTATCCTCTCCTTTTTATTTTTGCCTCTTACGTCATTTCCAAAACGCTCAGCTTGAGCTGTCCCTCTGATTATACTAATTTCTAATCCTCGTCGCTGGTAGCATCCTCTCAATCCAATTTCCTAAAAGACCCAAAAACCTTTGAGTTTTCAGCCTTGACTTGTTTTATTCTAAAGATTAGTAGATTACATTTGGGGACCAGTCATACATTTGTGAGGGTTTAGAGCAGGGAAAATGCCAGTTATACTCGTGAGAAAAAACATGGGGGAAAAAATGGCAAACAAATTAGTCAGGTTAGTGCACAGGTTAACCGTTTTGTTTGCTTTTAACCCTCAATTCCTGCACCCATTAAGTCAATTCTCTATAGTCACACAATTGTCCTTAAAAGGTGATACTGCTTAACTAAATATACGTTTGCCTGGAAGTGAAAACATGGAAATATCATTTAACGCCTCTGTTTAACTGCTATTTTTTAATGCCACTGTACTTTAACGTAATTGGCAGAGACGTTAAGCACATAACTTCTTTTAATCCAACTAGAGAGCGGCTGGAAAGGTGAGACTTCACCTGCTGCTTACTGCAAACCTTTAAGAGCGGAGCTGTCACTCATTCCTGATATCTCAAAGTCAACTAATGATAGCAAAGCAACAATAACGACAACTGCCTTGTTTATGTATACTATGCTAATTATTAATGAATGCAAAGTCTTGAATTTTAAATGCCCATTTCCTTCCCTTGAAAAGCCACGATTAAGTTATGCGTCGGGAATTACCGATCATTGAAGCTTTCTGCAGACATTAAAGCGCATATTAACTCGCCGGTGTGTCCGGCAATGGATGCTGATATTTGTGCCCTATAATAAACTCGTTTACGGTAACTCGTCGTTGTGATGCTGTGCAACGGCGGGTGCGCGCAATTACGCAACACCCCCGCCTGTCCTGCGAGCTATAACCGGATCAGCGTCTCCCCTCAGCCTATCCGCGCCTGCAGCCAACCTGACACCGGCCAGCTCTCAGGTACGACGCAGTACACGATATAATGCATGAAGTGGACTTTATTTTATCGATTTATTTTTTGATGCCATTAGTAAATTATCTGGGCCTGTTTTTATTTTTAGCGGTTCTGTGTGTGGGGATACTGTGATGCAGGACAGGCGGCTGGTAGTTAATGCGCATCCAGGCTTCAGTAAGCGGGCAGATAACAGAACATGGCGGAGGGTTGACATTTCCGTTAATTCCTTCAGACATTAGATTTAGTGCAATACTTTAGATTTTTCTGAAGCTCCGCCCTCTGTTTCTATAGGTTTATTTTTTTTAACCATCTTTTAGAAGTGAAAGCGCACTGCGGCAGCCGCTGTGACGTTATCTGTGAAGGATGAGTTAAACGCGCGCATGTAGATGACTGTCCTTGCCCTAAGTTCACCTGAGCAAGATCATGTGGGGATACATATTACAGTTGGATTAAGCTACTTGACGTTCAGCCTGCTGCAGAGTGCATTCAGACTAAATATGTCACACGGGTTTGGTTAAACAAAACTTCGCAGTGCATGTGTGAAGCCTAATGTTCAGGGTCATCACCCCGTCACCCCCACAGAGTCTTTAACAGCACCTGTTTCCCTTTGCGTGAACCTGTGCACAGTGCACTGCAGTGTCTGAGTAATGGCTGCTACACTGTTAGTAGACTAGACCTGACAAAATGGTGGATTCTGGCTGAGAGGGAAGCTGTACTGAGTCTGTGGCTATGAAAAAGAGGATGGTGCTGTGAAATATCATCTGAGCTACCTGGATGTGTTGGTGCACATCAGAGTGGTGAGAACAGGAGAAGCATGTGGATGTGAAAGAGGAGAGCAGGGGTGTGGATGGATGGAGGGATAGAGTAAGAGAGGGAGGAGTGTTGTGTGTTCTGTGCAGTTCACTGATATCCTCCCTAGTCCTCGGAGTCTTCTGAGATGCTAAAGAAAACACGTACTGACAATCAAGAGCCTTCTTCTTAGCAAATCTGAGCCCAAGTTACTTTCACTTTCCTCCTTTGAGCAGTATTTTAATGTAATTACAAATTCTTCCTGCACCAGCTGAGATTCCCACTCCAGTATTTTTCCACAGAGCCATGCAATATCTTGAATTTCTGCCAGCATAATGTTGAACCCTATGGTGTTTAATTACACAAACAAGTCTGGGCTATTTTCCACCATCAAATAATATGTTATTCACTCACAACAAGCCCATTTCACTATATGTCAGTCACAACAGCTAGTTCATCAATCCATTGCTTCCTGACTGTAACTTAACCCTGGCTTTAGCAGACAGACTGCCTCGTGACTTCTGCCAGCTCCAGTCATCATGGGAAAGGAGAAACTCCACATCAACATCGTGGTGATTGGCCACGTGGACTCTGGCAAGTCCACCACCACAGGCCACCTTATCTACAAGTGCGGAGGCATTGACAAGAGAACCATCGAGAAGTTTGAAAAGGAAGCTGCTGAGGTAAGGAGACGGGAGAGGAAGACGACCTCTTTAACTGCCCGCCGCTCTTCACATATTAAGGCAGAAGCCATGTGGATCAAATAGAAATTGACACAATAGAAGCTGTTTGAGTTTTATATAATTTAAAAGAGATTAAATTGTTTGCAAAAAAGTCTTGAAGGTTAGTGTTGCTTGTGTCCCAGATGGGGAAAGGATCATTCAAGTACGCCTGGGTGCTGGATAAGCTGAAAGCTGAAAGGGAGCGTGGCATTACCATCGACATCTCACTGTGGAAGTTTGAAACTAGCAAATACTACGTGACTATCATCGATGCCCCGGGTCATAGGGACTTCATCAAGAACATGATCACCGGGACCTCTCAGGTGTGTAACATGAGGATGCTAGGCCACTATGAAGTATATTAGCTTCTGTATTGCATGTTTTAAGGTGCTTTTGCAAGTTTGTGTACACAAAGTGCATCACTTGCTATTACATTGAAGTATTTCAGTTGCCATTAGTGACTATCGTAGGTGTTGAACTTGGTGTAGAAATTATTACAGTACATTACAGTATTAGCATCCAATAGTGGTAGTATTTCAAAGTTACTGAGGAATCCTACTAAAGCTGCATCCACTGCATTTTTAGGCAGACTGTGCTGTGCTGATTGTGGCAGCTGGCGTGGGAGAGTTCGAAGCAGGTATTTCCAAGAATGGACAGACTCGTGAGCACGCCCTCCTGGCCTACACTCTCGGAGTGAAGCAGCTCATTGTGGGAATCAACAAGATGGACTCTACGGAGCCAAACTACAGCCAGAAACGTTACGAGGAGATCGTGAAGGAAGTGAGCACTTACATCAAGAAGATTGGATACAATCCTGACACGGTTGCCTTTGTACCCATTTCCGGCTGGAACGGAGACAACATGCTTGAGCCCAGCCCTAATGTAAGTACTAAAACAAAGCATAGTTATGCAAAAGCCAGGATGTGGCCCATCATTTGAATATTCATTTGTTTGACTGGTGCCGTGGATAGAAAGCTGTAGCTCAATACAGCTCTTGGACAAACTCATACATGATCTGTCAAAGAATCTAAAGCGAACTTTTTCTCTAATTTCCCTTTCAGCAGCTATAGATATAAATAAGAAGTATTTTTCTTCAACATGAATCATAGTGGTGTTAACTAGGGAAAAAATAAAATGCAACTTTCTGCTAGTTAAATTGACTTCTTCATAAGATCAAGACGCGTCATTCATTCATTTAAAAAGTGACAAAAAATGTCCTGGAGGTTAAGAAACCAATAAAATGTTCTGTTATTATTTTAATTTAGAATTGAAATTATTACTGTATAAAATTGTGTATTATCATTTTTTCCTTCTTTCCTCTAGATGACATGGTTTAAGGGATGGAAAATAAATAGGAAGGAAGGTAATGCGTCAGGAACCACACTACTGGAGGCTCTGGATGCCATCCAGCCCCCCACCCGTCCAACAGACAAACCTCTACGTCTTCCCCTGCAGGATGTCTACAAGATAGGAGGCAAGTGGTGTACAAATAACATATGGATAAACTTTTAAGATACTTTGGGAATAAAGGATAGTTGTGACATTTCAAAACATGGAAAACCACATACCTTTTTCAGTAGAGAACTGAAACACTTTTAGTTTGCTTTACTCTGCTTTACTCTGACCTCTTTGCAGGAATTGGAACAGTCCCCGTAGGTCGTGTGGAAACGGGATTACTGAAGCCTGGAATGGTGGTGACATTTGCCCCTGTCAATGTGACTACCGAGGTCAAGTCTGTAGAAATGCACCATGAGGCACTGAGCGAAGCCCTACCCGGTGACAACGTTGGCTTTAACGTCAAGAACGTATCTGTCAAGGATATTCGCCGTGGCAATGTTGCTGGTGACAGCAAGAATGATCCACCACAGGAAGCTGCCAACTTTACTGCTCAGGTAGATACAAGATTTGGATGTAAAAAATCCAATTATAGTAGAACGAGCACATGACTTAAATTCATCTCCATCTAATGTCAGAACTATTTATATTCTCAATCCTCAAGGCAGATAAGAATGTGTTCAAATAAGACGACAGCAGAAAAACTAGAAATAAAAAAAAAAAACAAAGCTTTTTTTGCGGTTATTAATAAGGCACTGATGTTGTCCCTTTGCTTTGCAGGTGATCATCCTCAACCACCCAGGCCAGATCAGCGCAGGTTATGCTCCCGTGCTGGACTGTCACACTGCTCACATTGCCTGCAAGTTTGCAGAGCTCAAAGAAAAGATTGATCGCCGCTCTGGCAAGAAGCTGGAGGACAACCCTAAATCCCTAAAATCTGGAGATGCTGCAATTGTAGATATGATCCCTGGCAAACCAATGTGTGTCGAGAGCTTCTCTGAATACCCTCCCCTTGGTGAGTTCAAGTAGTTCCTAGAGTTTCAAGAGCTTCCCTCATCAAAAGGCATCGTGGCTCCACTTTGAAGTCATGCGATATTTTATGATGAACTCAAACGTCTTTTATTCTTCTTCACTTTGCAGGTCGTTTTGCGGTGCGTGACATGCGTCAGACTGTGGCTGTCGGTGTGATTAAAGGTGTGGAGAAAAAGGTCTCCACTACTGGTAAAGTCACCAAGTCTGCCCAGAAGGCCCAGAGGAACAAATGAATGTTGTGCTACTCTGCCGACCCCAAGGTCTCCCAAGGCAGGACATCAGTCATCCAACTTCATCCTAGAATTGGCTACTTCAACTTAATAATTAAAGACTGGTTAATCATCACAATGCATCGCAAAAGCATTCGAAGGAAAGAAAAACACTTACATCTTTAGTCCTTGAGGCAGCACTCCTGGTTCCATTTCAGTGGTTAGATTACCATTAAGTACAGTGTAACATCAACATGTTTCAAATGTGTGCACTGTTGATTCGCGTCATGGAAACACTATTCTGTGCTAATTAGACATCTAATAATTAGAGATACTGCAACCTGTCACCTCTCTAGTTCAATGGAGTGTAGGTTCAGAACTCTTTACATAATATTATATGTTGTCCTGCTTTTAGTGTTTGTTTGCAACTATATGGCGCTCTCTAGGAGCAAGGAGTCATAACTGTGTCCTTCTGTGTAGTGGAGTAGTAGAGAATTTGTTCTGTTTAAGCTTTAAAAAGAACTTAAAACAAAAAAAGGTCAAAAATTGTCCTCCCAGGACTCTAGTCCACATGTGGACTCTTAAAGCACTTTGATTGGCATTTTGCTAATTTTGCACCTGCACTTGTAGTTTAAATTGGCATAAGCTATAGCACCTTATTGTAAGATGGCATGAGCCTCTTTGTAACATTAAACATATTTCAACCAAAATGTGCTGCCTTTAGCAGTTTTTCCCCCCTTCTGTGTAAAGCTGTGAGAGCAACAGTTGTGTTGAAGTTTAAGATTCTTAAAATATGACACAATATCTGCAATACACCTTTCTATCCACAAGATGTAGCTATTGATATAGAAATAAAAGAGAAACTAATAAGAATTTCAAACAAAGATCAAGTTTATAAAATTGCAGGCACAGTGCTGTGTCGGCACCTTAGAAGGCTATAGCCTCACCCTATGGCCAATAGCAATTATCCAGGAAGTAATAAGCCCAGCACTCGCCGACTGATTGTGCTATTACACAATACACACAGCATAGCGTACGTGAGGACTACATGCAATAGGACCTGCAGAAAAGCTTTCACTCACAGTTTACATCCGGTGAGTATACGTCAAAGGCTGAATCAACATAAGGGCAGGGTGTGGCAAAGTAAAGGGGTGTGTTCTCATACAATAAAAGGACACACTAAGGATTAATCTTTCCAGACAAGTTTCATTCATTACACTGTCATGGCTGGGAGAGGGAAACCGCGCAAGCTAAACAGTCTCGACGCTGAGTGCACTAAAGTAAGTTTTCCTGATTTAACAGAAGGGAAGCAGAGTGAAAAACAAACGAAACAGAAACCAAAGAAAGCGGAGCAGAAAAATCCAAACAAAGCTGAAGAAAAGTTTCCTCCTGACAGTGCCAGAGGAGAATCTCAACACAGCAGAGCACAGAGAACTTGTGCGACCAGGACCAAGTCGACAGAACAACTTCCACTGGAGAAACTGGAGAAAAAGGAAATTCCAAAAACCACAAGAACAAAAAGATGTTCTGACAGGACAAAATCACAAGGACTTGAAGAGGAAGTAAAGCCAGAGGGTACCAGAAAAACAAATCCACGTGTTAGGAAGGCCAAACCATCAGAAATGACTGAGATACAGCTAAAAGATCCTACAGAGGATTCTGTGGACACTGTCAAAGCAAAAGCCTGTGGCACCAAGCCAAAATTAAGAGAACAACTTGATGCAAAGATGCAAAATGAGCAATATTTTGAGAAGATACCAAAGGCAGAGCAACAGACTCCAAAGAATACAAGAGAGGCTTCAGAACAGACCACAAAAACCGAAATATGTGCTGGCAAAGCCAAATCGCCACTAGCAAAAGCCTGTGGTGCCAAGCCAAAAGTAGAAGTACAATCTGCTGTGCAGGATACAAAGGTTGCACCAGGAAAATCTGAGGACTTAAAAAGGAAAGATACGACCGAAGAAAAAGCTTCAACAGATTATATCCTTAGGGAAACTCTGAAAAAATTGAAAATTAAGATGATTGACAAAGCAAAGGCAGCAGAAGTCATAAATGCGATAATACAAAATATAATCAATCATTTAAAACAAAATACGTTAAGCTTTAATGACGTACAAGAACCCCTAAAAACAGGAAGCTACTATGAAAATCTAAAGGTAAGGTTTTACACTCTGAGTTCCCGCAATTAACTCAGGACAGGATTTGTGGTCCAATCTGATGTATGACTTGTATGTTGCACAGATTTGTAATCCCGATGAATTTGACGTCATGCTGCCCATCTTGGTTGATCGGGTGAGACTTGAACCATTTGGAAATGATGGCGCATTTTACAGTGTGGAATTAAAACGTGGCCAGAAGAATCTGGAAAGATTTCTAGAAAATGGCATTTTATCTGCTACCAAGATGCTCAGTGAGTTCAGGGAAGAAGTGAAGAAATGTGTCAAGAATTTTACTGGTGAGTATCAAAGTTTAAGTTAGTTTTAGTGAAATTTTCATTTTACAGTAAAAGAGGGCGTGAGGAAGAATTCAATTTGACAAGGCCTTTAATTTAACATGCTTATTTATCTATGCCTTCTATATTGTAACATATTAATATACAGCATCCAGTACCATAGAATGTCTGGAGTTAGGTTTTGTTTGTTCTTTCAGAATGGAAGGTGGACAAGAAGAAAAAAGGCTGTCCAGCAGTGACCCTGACCACACATGTACAATCAGTCCCAATTTCGCTGGATGTTGTTCTCTGCCTTATGGTTAAATCAAGCTGGCCGCCTTTCACAACCCAAGGCCTTAAAATAGAGTGCTGGCTCGGGCATAAAGTTAAGCAAGATCACAAGCGAGAGCCATATTATCTGGTCCCAAAATATGAGGGCAAGGGTACAGTGGAAAATGATGGTGTCTGTAATAAAGGTAGGTTTAACCTCTCTCAATTAGTGAATAAAAAAACAAAAACAAAAAAAACCCCTAATCATAATGTGATTGTGAGCCACTGAACGAAATAGATAAAGTTTTTGTTAACTGCAGTAGAAGTGAGAAAAGACACAGTATTATAAGACAACTGAATCCTGGTTAGAATGTTTGTGGCTGACATTGTTGTCAGTGTTGTGCCAAAAAGTCATTTTGAATGTTTCTGTGCGTTTTCATGTGTATTACCGTTGCTTACATTGGTAAAATGTAGTCAACAGGATTTATGAAAGGGTTATATATAAAGTAATGGCATATGGTTTCAGAGGGTTTGGCAGTTATATCGTAGCTACGGTGTAGGTTTCCCACTGAAGCAGAAATCCCCTTTAACACTTGTTACTACAGTTCAAAATGTGCAATTTTCATGATGGTATAAAAAGCTTAAAATTTCCCTGTTCTCTTCTGTCATCTCTGACATACAGATGTTTGGAGAGTTTCATTCTCTCACATTGAGAAGGCCATCCTGAAAAATCATGGATCAAAGAAGACTTGCTGTGAAAAAAGTGGAGAAAACTGCTGCAGGTTAGAACAACATGCTTATTACCAAATTGTTGCTTTCTGGTAGAAAATGAACACAATGGCAAAAAAAAAAAAAATTCGTCAAACCATTTGGTGTGTTGATGTTCGGTACTATGCAATGGACCCAGTCAGTTAGTTAGTTACATTATGTATTAAACTAGGGCTGCAGCTATCGATTATATTTGTAACGATGTATTCCATTAATTAATTTAATGGATTAATGGATTATTCCAATAATTCCATTGAATTGATTATTCCATTAATCCAATTAAATGGATAACTACTTGTCCTATTAATGAGCAATAATAGACATTTAAAAGAGAAAACAGGTCTTTCAAAATTAACTGCTCATTAGTTTCCATTTTAGAAATTGCAAAATGTTTTGAACTGCATAAATCTGTTAAAAACAACAACAGAAAGAACAAAACCCTTTGATTATATTTATGCACCATATTAAATTAAAAATTTTAAAGAAAACATTTTCTTAAATGCAAAAATATATAAATACTTTCAAGTACTCTACAGAGTTTTATCTCCTTGACGAGGTAGATTTGTTGTGCGTTCATGTTTCCGAATTTTTGTGCATCTGTGTGCCTGCGTGTTTTAAGTGTGAGAGGTCAAGAAAGAGAGAGTTTGTATCTGTAGGCCTTTAAAAGAGAATGTGGTGGCTGCAATGAAGGAAAGCGAGAATATCAGCATTCCATAGTTGATGGAAAGTTTGATGTATACTTTCTGTGCTGCTGAAAACAAACGTTATAATGGTGCAGGTGTTACTTAATAGTAATAATAATTCAGTGTCCAGAGTTTTATTGGCCCATGTACATTTTTATTGGCTTGTGAAAAAGTGTTTCTTTATATTCTCAAATATTAATGCAATTTAATTAACACATTATTTTATATAATTTCACCTTCAATCTGATAAATGTTGCGAAAGCCCTGAAATTAATCTGGTCTAGTAAACCTCATGTCCCCCCTTTGCTTGCTGCAGGTATTGCTTTCATGTACGGCTGTCGTCAGCCTTCATTAAGCTGTATAATTTAAACATGGTATCAGGCTAAGTTAATAGTTTGTCTGCATGTTTTAATACAACTTCTGGAGGCTTACTGCAGAATTACGTTAAACTGTGCCAGCGTTATCATCACGGCAGCTGTTGTGTTATCGATGTTTTTGTTGAAAACTGGGGGCCTCATAGGTTTAGTGTCGGCAGACTCTGTAGTCATTCGCTGCTCCTAAATATGTTTCTATTACAGGTTTGCTTTTCGTCACAAATGCAGCTGACATGCTATCTCTAGACATTTATATCCATCCATTTATGTACACATATATTTATATCTCAACTCAGGAAAATAGGCAAGCTCAAGAAAATGTTTGATATTTTTACCTAATATGTTGTGTACATTTAATTATCCAAGGTTCCCAAAATCTCTGTATCTTTCTCCTTGCACACAGGAAGTCCTGTCTGAAACTCCTAAAGCACCTGCTACATCTGCTGAAGGAAAGGGACTCTTCATTTGACAAGTTTTGCTCTTATCATGCCAAAACTACACTCTTTCATGCCTGTTGCTTGCGAACTGATGACAACAACTGGAGAGAATCAAACCTGAGCGATTGTTTCCAGCTGCTCCTGGAAGACTTTGAACGTTACTTGGAAAATGGTGAACTATGCAACTTTTTCGTTCCAAGTCAGAACCTATTCTCTGGTATTGGAAAGTGCAAATGTCTGTGCGACGCTATCAGGAAGGAACGTCTGAGCGGCTTTCCTATTTTCAGGGAACAACTTAAAAATGGACATTAATGCACATCTGAGCTCGTGACTTTTGTAAGTGCTATAGTGTCTTGATGCATGCTCAATCAAATGCTGCATCCAGATGAACAGAATCTTCGAAAGTTGATTCTGTTCATCTGGAGATACCCAGATAGCAAATATCCATTGAAACAATGTTTAGTCAATATCAGTTGATTCCACTGAAACAACATCAGAATTTGATGTTGAATCAATGTTGAATGCTGATGTTGATTTTCCATCATTTTTGCACCTTTGGTTACTATTGAAACAACAATAAAATCATGATTAAAAATCAGTATTTAACAGTGGTTTAATATTTGTATCAATACTAAACCACTGCAAATTACCAGCAATACTTAAACCTGCTAAAAAGACAACTGTGTATGATCCACAAATAGGAAACCATTATATGCTGGACATTATCTTACAATTTGTCATGCCCATAAAAATATCCCTATAATATGAAGCATCTGGCATTATGTAATAAAAAATGACAGACATCTCTGTCAATAACAAAGGATCAGATGATGGATCAGATGAAAAATCAACATCAGTTCAACGTCTCCTTGGCATCTGGGTAGCGTTTTCAGACGCTATGAGATTTACTTACCTGGATGATTGAGCATGAATCAACACAGATGAACAGAAACAACTTTTGGGGAAGTCCTATAGTGTTTACAATGCCTCAATAATTTACAACTTTGAGTTTTGTAACAGATTTATAAGAAATTCTACTAGTACAACTGAGATTTAGGGGAACAGTAACTGAAGTACTAATATACTTTTAAGTGTTTTTTTTTATTATATTTGAGTCAATCCTTAATATATCGCTTAAATGTGTTTTAATATGTCAGCTATTAATCAGCAAATTACATTGTCTTTTCATTGTCCATATGTATTATTATATATTATATTTTTTAACTGACTTTTTTCTGAAGCCAGATGATACCTCTTATTTGTAAAATATATACCTTAAAATGGCACTCTTTAAGTCCGGTCGGAGCGGGCACGCTCCGTTGTGCATAACTATTTTTAAATCCATGTAGAACTACAACCACATAAGCAAGCAAAATAAAAAAAAATTGTATATGAAACCAGAGGAGTTGTAAATACATCTTATGCCATCAGTTTGTCCTAAGTCATGGTTTCCTTCCAAATATAGCTTTGGAAAATTTGCATAAAAAGCGCAGCAACAAAAACATGATATTCCAGAAACACGCGATCAGCTGTTCATAACACTTCCTACGTTGGAAAAGACGTCAGCGTGAACATGGCACGTCCGCACCTGCCGAAACAGGAAGTGACGTCACGTTCACGGAAAAGTTTGGTGTGCTTCTTTGGTTTTGTATCTTTTTTTTTTTTTGTTACCTTCGGGGCCTTTATGCCTATGCTGGTGTTTTTAAAAGTCATGTTTGACTTTGTGCTTTTCTGTATCGCTTCTGGGATGCTTAGAACTCAAATTACACTGCTGGAAATAGTTTATTTCGATGCACATGCTGGGTTTTTTTTGCAAATTTGTATTATAATATTTTTCGTTTTTCCTGCAGTACATAATAATTGGTGTATCTCAAGAATAAAACTATGAAGACACTCAAAATAAATTTCCTGTGGTGGGAAACTATTTTGTGCAACTTTTTTGTATTTACAGTTTTGAGGGATAAACCTCTTAAATTTCTTTAACTAGAAATATAAAAAACAAAAGCGATTTTCAATTTTTTTGTAGTTTATTGCACTTTTTGGCAATTTATGTAGTTACTATTGACTAAATGCATACATGCTATTAAATGCCATATTGTATTGATGTATAGCAACTTGAAATGCTCCCAAAAATGGCACTACAGCATGTAAAAATATAAAGAGAAGCTCTGGCGGACTTGGTTCTATGGTAGCTCTTAAAGGGTTAACTGGGGCTAAGATAGTCAGCATCCATACACAAAACAGCAACTCATGCAGCAACCAACACAATCTGCAAAGCAAAGCAGAATTCAGCATATACTCGTTTCCACTCATTTCAGATGAGACTGAAAAATAATATCAGAATTCATAACAGAATTTTATGAAAGCACAGTTCCCATCATCTCAGCTGTTTTTTCACACTGACTGAAGAAATGTAAGCAGGAAACCAAAGTCTGCTCACAGGGCAGAAAAAGGTTGTGATTGATAAACTCACAATTTTTCAGCCTGCTTATAACAAGTGCTGACAGGCTCAGTTTTTGCACTTCTATTTTAGATTTAGCTGTCAGAGTCACATAATACATCTGACTCATTAAGTTTTGAAATACACATTTTTATAGGAATGAACAGCAGTGTTTGTGCTTAGATCTTCCTTTGAATCAGATCTCCAAGTAAACCAATGTGGTCAGCAGACTAAACATCTTGAGCAAGTAATGCAGACAAGCTGTTGAGCTTAACGCAAACCATCACTTCCTGTTTGGAAAAAAATATATATTGTCAAAAGACCCGACTTTTCTCTTTTTCCATGATATTATTATTCCCCCCCAAATTATGAGCACTTACCCCCAAGTGTCCATGTAATTTCTGACCAATAATATAGGCAATTAAGAAAGTAGATTCAATTATTACCACAATTCTATGGTTATTTTTTCAAGGAACAAGCCAATAATTAATGCACAACATGTCATTTATTTTTAAGATAACAATTTATTAAACTTTCCACAACCAAGAGATAACATAAAATATTCTGAATGATAACAGACTAATAAGTTTATGGCAGAGACAAATGTGCATTTTAAATTCTTTTAAGAGAAGAAAACAATTAGGTGCAAGTTGCCAAATGATCATAGATATAATCCAGCAAGCAAACCTTTCAATAACAGAAAATAAAGAACTGAAATGCACATTAAAAAGAAATAACACAGGTAGATTGAGACCTTGCTCCAGCCTGTGGAGAAAAGGATAAGAAAATGAACATTCTCATAACCATGTGAAATACAGTAATTTGACTTAATTCCTGTCAGAGTAAGGTGGAGGAACATGGCGGGAAAACTTACATGGACAGCTCTGTATTAGAACCCCCAGTTTTGGCCGCGGTCTGTTCCACCATTTCTTCTCCCTCCTCCTCGCCCCTGTCCTCCCCTTGGATTGGACATTTCCTTCTCTTTCTTGTGCTTTTGATACCTTTCTGCCATAAGCAACAGCTCCTCTGGGATATCCTGCAAAAGGATTCGTTAAGACTATCAGTTTTTAGCTGGAGGGAATTTGGATGGAAGTCTTTGATAAGGTTCTTTATTACTCCGTGTCAAAAGGCTCATTATGATGGGAATCCTCCTGTGTGTTGGAGAAACTGTGGACACCAACGAGCACATCACACCCATATTATGTGGGACTGTTCTTTGCTACGGACCTACTGGAAAGACATTCATGGTACATTACAAGGCATTTTTGACTGTACATTCATGGACATGAAGACAATCTTTTTTGGTTGTATACCGCAGAACTGGTCTAAAAATGATACATGTCTGTTAAGAGCTTTACTTGTTGCAAGTAAGAAAGGTATAACTAAGAAATGGTCCTTGCAAGATATACCGACCTTTTCATTATGGTGGGAAATTACGCCAGAGATTTATAGGATGGAGGAGGTAACAGCTTATGTCAATGACAGGGTGGGTTGGTTCCATTTGTGTTGGGATAAGTGGGTCCTATATGCTAATACCCATAAGCCGAATCTTCTTTTCAAAGCTTGAAACCACCAACCTAGCTAACTGGTCACTCCCGACTGTTTTTCTTTTTTTTTTTCCCCTTTCTCTTTTTTTCCTTTTCTTTCGTTTTGTTTTGTTTTTCCCTTGTAAATTGTGTTGATTAATGCCTGTAATCACCTTCGGGAAGTAATAGTTTAGAAATAAAGAATTTAAAAGAAAAAAAAAAAAAAAGACTATCAGTTTGTCAGCTGTATTATAATATAAGTACACATGCACAGAATTCTCAGGAATTATGTTACATTTTGAAAAAAAGTCTACTCAATCAAAAGTGTATTTATGTCAACACAAAATATGTTTTTGCCAACCTGTCCTGCTCGCTCCATGATGGGAATTAGCTCAGGTGCCATTCTCCAGTTCTCTCTTGTCACCAGGGTCACAGCAGCACCTGAACGTCTGAAACGAAACATGCATCATCACCACAAGCTAGCACAAGCACAGCCTGGCAGTAAAGTCTGCATGCACAATCTCTTACCCTGCTCTGCCAGTGCGACCTACACGATGAACATATTCCTCGATGTTACGTGGGAAGTCAAAGTTGAAGACGTGTGTTACGTCATGGACATCCAACCCTCGAGATGCCAAATCTGTGGCCACGAGGATACGAACTCGACCTGGAAAAAGATACACCACTTATTCTGTCATAACTTCAATCCAACAGCCTTTATTTGTGGTAGTCTTTAGTTTAAAATAAGACCACCAGCTACACACAAAAATGTGTTTCCATTTTCTCTGCTAGTGCCATGCAGACTATTTTTCAAAGCACTTTTCCCTTCACGTTACATACCGTTTTTAAAGTCCTTGAGAGCTTCTTCACGGTCACACTGTTCACGGTCACCATGGAGACTCTGCACAGCCAAACCTTGAAGGCACATATCACTGGACAGGTCATCAACTCTGATGTTGAACAAAAATGGAAACGAGCAAACACAAAGGACACGCGATTAAAGTGGGTACCAATGCTGATGTGTGTTTATCCAACTGTAACAGTGGTGAACAGCCACAACTATGAACCAACTCCGCACTTACGCAAGCTTCTTGCCAACAAAGATGATTACTTTTTCCTCCAGTTGCATGTTTCTGATGAAGTCAAACAGATACGACTTTTTCTCCTCTTCGCGAACAATCAGCACTGTTTGCTGCACCGTGTTAACAGCCTGACAAGAATAGAAACACAGGAAGCATGTAAACAGAATCCAAACGGGCATACGCTATTTAGAACTTTAAAGTAAATAACATGTCTGCCAAGAATAAATGAACAAATTCTCAACTGTCAGACATGCAAAAGTCAGACAGAAACCATCTCTCCAGTATCCAGCTTTTAGTCACTAAACAACCATGTGAAATACAGTAGTTTGATTGTTGTTAATTCATCCTTCTTACCTATCCTAGCTGTATTTATTTATACTCCAGAAAGAACCATGAGGTCCAGTTCAAAACTAATGTTAACCATTCCACGGTCTAAACTTAAATCCTGTGGCAACAGAGGCTTCTCCATGGTAGGTCCCAGACTCTGGAATAGTCTGCCTCTAAATATTAGTGCTGTGCAAACCCTGGAACATTGTAAATCTTTACTGAGGATACATTTTTATGGACTGTCTTTAGCACATGTTGACCCAAGCATTTTGTTTTAACAGCCTTAGTCATTGTTGTTTTAGTTATTTGTATTGTCTTGTATTATTCTTTCTTTTATATTTTTATTTCATCATTGTTGTGCATTTTACTTATTTCAATTACATTTTAGTTTGTGAAGGATGAGCTGTTGTAAATGTGCCATATAAATAAACTTATACTTGACGACCTTATGGTGGGATTATGGTGGGACAGTATACAAAAAAAAAAAAAAAAAATAGTCAAGACATTTAAATCACTGATTGGATTCATTTCTACTTACAGCCAAGTCCAGGGTGCCCACATAAACCATCATGGGATTATTTAGGTAGGATTTGGCCAGTCGTCTCACACCTGTGGGCCAAGTTGCACTGAAACATGAGAAATAACAGGCATAGAAAGGTAGTTTTAATTTCCATACATACATTATATTCTACAACTCTGGATGAACACCAACCAATACTTGATGGTTTTCGTGTTTAAAGTCAACCATTTAAATGCACTTGTTCCTGAATTGGATGTGTTGTGTGTTCATGTGGTCAGTTTCATCATTAACTGATGGCAAATTGTTTATACCTGGTCATGACAGTCTGTCGATCTGGACGGATGTCCAGAAGAATCTTCATAATTTGGGGTTCAAAGCCCATATCTAACATACGGTCAGCCTCGTCCAGCACCTTTTTAAAAGAGCAGTTACTAAAGACAGCGCATCTCGTTTTCACCACACACACAACATGAGTACGCCAAATATACAAAATAAAACCCACCTACTATGCACCATGTGTCAGCAGCCAGTAGATTACATGTTTACAAGCCTCAAGTATACAAGTATAATTTTCTGGGCCCAAAAAAAGCCTGGTTGATTATGGTGTAAACCAGCGGTCCCCAAGCTTTTTTGCGCCACGGACCAGTTTATGCCCGACAATATTTTCACAGACCTTTAAGGTGTCGCGGATAAATACAACAAAATAAAACTAATACCGGTACTGAAAAAAAGAAGATTTATTCATAACACACGTGAAAAGACCCAGGAAAACCGAGTAAACGATAAAAACGATAACAAAATAACGCTGAAAACCGATAAAAACCCTGAAAACCATACATTTCACCCCTGAGCCTCAACTCTCGTGGCCCGGTACCATTCCGAGGCCCGGGGGTTGGGG